GGGGGGGTAGTATTGGAGGGAAAGGCCTGATTTCCAGCCCCCAACCCCCTAAAAAAGCACCGGGTCGGTGTGAGGAGGTTATTACCCACCCGCCCCTCTCCCCGGGTCCCGAGCCCCGTCCCTCGGGCCGGCCCCTCCCCCGGAACCCCGTCCCCGGTTTAAAATCTCTCACCATTTCTTTATTTTTATTTTTCCGCCGCTTTTTGTTTTCGGCCTCACGAGAAAGAGAACAAAGATGGACGCCGGAAGCCGCGACCTTTAACCCGGAAACGCTGTGACGCCAGCTCCACCCTCTTTAAAGTTTCTGGGAAAGTTTCCACAAACTTTTTAGACCAGTGTTTCCCACCGGACAAAACCTGTAGCCTCTCAGGGAATGTAATCTTATTTCGGGGGGGGGAATAGATTTTACAAACTACAATCCAGGGGGAAAGAAAATAAACTGGAATTTAAAAAATAGATGTTAAAGGCAATTGGAACAAATAAAAACAGAAATTGCTGGAGATTCTCAGCAGGTCTAGCAGCATCTGTGGAGAGAAAGCAGAGTTAAGGTTTCGAGTCCAGTCTGACTTTTCTTCAGAGGAAAAGTGTTTGTTTATTTCAAATCTCCAGTGTCTGCAGTTCTTTGTCTTATTTAAGGGAATTGGGGTTTGTTCAGTTTAAATCTGTTGTTAAATAAAGGAAATGGAGATGTGGGGTATTCACAGTCTGGTTGTTCTTGTGAAAGTGTTGTGAAAAATAATGGACTTATCCCATTGGGACAAAGGGGAAAAGGCTACTTGGATATTAAAATGGTTAAGTGGCAGAAAGGACTGTAATGGTGAAAATAGTTTCTCAAACCAGCAGACGCGGCAATATTCAGATGATGGTATTTGGACCACTGCTGTTGTTGATAAACTGGACTTAGATCTAAACAGCATACCTTCAAAGTTTGCAAACCACACAAAACTCAGAAGCTTAGTGACTGGTGCTGTGGTTGGGAGGATTTATGGCAGAATGAGTATCATCTCTACCTCTGAACCAGAAGCTCCGGGTTGCCTCACCAGAATTACTTGGTTGTGGAATTTCTGGTCCACAAGATACAACAACTCAAAGTTACCCATGGCCCTCTGGAAACTTCCTCTCCTCCCTTTCCCTCTGACTCCATCCCCTTCCACAACCCCACCTCCTGTCAGGTATTCACCATCCCTGCCAACCTTCCACTCTCCAATGCTGAACGTTCTGTACTCATCAAAGGACTAAGCTTTATTTCACTGCATCCCCACCTTAACGAATTTTGGGCACGACAGGACGTCAAACTCTTTTTCCGCCGTCTTTGCCTCTGTGCCCATTTCTTTGGACAAGAGTCCTCACTCCGTCCCACTGACCCTTTCACCCAGTTCCAACACTCTCCCTCCACCTGGACCCCTCCCTCTGGCCTTTTACCTGCACTCAATCTGTTCATTGAGGACTGTTGACGTGATATTGGTCGCCTTAATTTCTCTGCTCTTCTCACCAAATCCAACCTATCTCCCTCTGAACTGACTGCACTCAGTGTGCTTAGATCTAACCTGACTTTGTTATTAAGCCTGCAGATAAGGGTCGTGCTGTTGTAGTCTGACATACTGACCTCTACACTGCAGAGGCTGAGCGCCAGCTCTCAGATACCTCCTCCTATCCTCCCCTGGACCACGACCCCACCATGGCACATCAGGCCATTGTATCTGCTACAGTCATGGATCTCATTTCATCTGGTGACCACCGCCCCCTCCCCTTGCTTCCAAGCCAATAGTACCCCAGCCCTGTACAGCTTGCTTTTACCTCCTTCCAAAAATCCACAAACAGGACTATCTGGACAGACCCACTGTTTTAGCCTACTCCTGCCACACAGAACTCATCTTTTCCTACCTTGACTCAGTCTTCTCTCCCTGGTCCAATCCCTGCCCACGTACATCCAAGATTCCTCTGACACTTTACACCAGTTTCAAAACTTCCAGTTTGCCAGTTCCAGCCGCCTCCTCTTTACCATGGACGTGCAATCCCTTTACACATCCATTCCCCACCAGGAGGGTCTTAGGGCTCTCCGCTTCTTCCTGGAGCAAAGACCTGAACCATCCCCACCCACCACCCTCCTCTGAGGATGAGCTCGGCAACCTCAACAACTTCTCTTTCAACTCCTCTCGTTTTCTTCCGGTCAGAGGGGTGGCCATGGGTACCCGCATGGGCCCTAGTTATGCCTGCCTCTTCATGGGGTACGTGGAACATTCCTTGTTCCAGTCCTATACCGGCCCCCACCCACAACTCTCTCTCCAATATATTGATGATATCATCGGTGCTGCTTCCCTCTCTCGCCCAGAATTGGAAAAGTTCACCGATTTTGCTTCCAATTTCCACCCTGCCCTCACTTTCACCTGGTCTATCTCTGACTCCTCCCTTCCCTTCCTCGACATTTCTGTTTCTATTTCTGGGGATAGACTGACCACTAATATCCACTATAAACCCACTGACTCCCATAGCAACCTGGACTATACATCCTCACACCCTGCTTCCTATAAAAGCTCCATCCCATTCTCTCAGTTCCTCTGTCTCCAGCACATATGTTCAGATGAGACCAACTTCTACAAGGGAGCCTCTGAAATGTCCACCTTCTTCCTCAACTGAAGACTCCCCAGCTCCGTTGTCGACAGGGCCGTCAACCAGGTCTGACCCATTTCCCACACTTCCGCCCTCACCCCTTCTCTTCCCTCCCACAACAGCAATAGGGTTCCCTTAGTCCTTACCTAACATCCCACTAGCATCCAGATCCAGATCATAGATGCCATTTCTGTCTTCTCCAGCAAGATGCCACCACCAGACACATATTCCCCTCCCCTACCTTGTCTGCCTTCTGCAGGGACCGTTCCCTCCAGGACATCCTGGTCCACTCTTCCTTCACCCCCAACACCCACCCACAGTCTCACGGCACCTTCCCCTGTAACCAGCGAAGGTGCAGTACCTGCCCATTTATCTCTTCCCTCCCCAGTATCCAAGGGCCCAAACATGCCTTCCAGGTGAAGCAACACTTCACCTGCACTTCCCAGAATCTAGTTACTGCATTCGCTGCTCACAATGTGGTCTCCTCTACATTGGGGAAATGAAGCATAGACTGGGCGACCGCTTTGCAGAACATCTACATTCTGCTTGCAAAAAAGACCCTGAGCTACTTGTTAC